GCAAAATCAGAAGTCTGTCCCCGGGAAAGAGTGAAAAGGAAGGGGACCCTGGGAGATTCCACATTCTCCCCATATAGGCACCAATTTTTAATCCTAGACCTCAAGAGAGACTCCCTTTTATGCCTCAAAAAATAACTTGCGATATTATTAAACAAATTATCTTCAACATAATTTGTTACTCAACATTTTTCAACAATAGAAGTAAGTGATTATAGACACTACCAATTTGCATTTCACAGGCAAATGTCAAGAGCGCTCCAAAGGCCCCTTGCAAATTAAGGTTTTACATGTCATAATACTTCAGCCGTAAGTTAATTTTGTGCTGGGAACAATTCAATAATAGCTTTATTCATATTTACCTATATTATTTTTTAATTAGGTTAGATTTTGCTATGATTATTATAAACTCCCAATTTCAATCTGTCAGAAACTCAACCAGTAAATTCAAGTGATTGGAATCACTTCTTTCTTCTAAGTATAATTGCTTGCTTTGATGAAAAAGAGACAAAAGACAAGTAGGCAAACAGCAAATAGATGTGTACTATTTAGTTTTAATCAGCTTTTTCGTTAAATCTGAGAATCGGCATACCTCATTTCCTCTGTAATCATGTTATCTCTAGGACTTCACTGTGTTTTTTATTTTTTTTTTCCAGAGTATTGTCATTACTATAGTAATAAGCTGGCCAAATCAATGCTCTGAGTTAACCCCAAAAGGAATGCACTAGGATGACGCTGAATGAAATTTGGAATTTAAAAATAGTTAATTTTTAAGATAATAAAATAATAACATTAATTAGAATAAATAGGACTCAGCCAGGCAGAGAGATAAGGAAGAAAAAGTCAGTCTGGAAAAGACAGGAGGCAAAAGAGAGAAATCTTAGAGTGGCCAGATGGTCACAGAGATAAAATGAAGGTGGAGGAAGAAAGGGGCAGCTGGATCCAACGGCGTAGTGGAGTCTGGACTCAGTTTAAGAGTAATGGGATCTTTCCAAGTTTTACCAGAAAGTCTCATGGTGGGATTTAAGTTTTTCAAGAACTCCCTCTAGCTGGCAATGGCAGGAGTAGGAATGGGAGGATGGGGAGAGAAGTTCAGGGCACAGCCGCAGCGACTGCAGAAGACGATGGAGGCTTATTGGAAGGGGCGGCAATGAGTCTGGGGAGAAGCAAACACGATTTAGACCAAGGATACAAAGGTGTGTGCAAGAACATGCATCATAAAAGTGCCAAATATCTGATGAATGAATGAATGCATTGCTTTAGAAAGACACTGATTTCCAAAAGGCCTTATGTAGTGTTTTTTCTTAATAAAGTGAGCTAAGTAGGTAGTCTTGTTCCTAATTTTATAAAAATTAAAAACAATCAAGTGGGCGGTGCCTGTGGCTCAAGGAGTAGGGTGCCGGAGGTGGTGGGTTCAAACCCAGCCCCGGCCAAAAAAAAAAAAA